TTGCAGGTATTTTCTCCTAGCCCGGGCCTTTCCTGCTTATGTTTAGTACACTGCTTATGTCCTGTGCGCTACCCCACCCCTGCGGTCAGGGGTGAAATTTTCCACTCGTGGTCATGGTTAGGATATTGGAGCGTTTCGGATTTCAGATTTTCAGCTTAGGGATACTCAGCCTGTATCAGGATACATCTCTGGAGACAGAACGTGCTGCTGATTAAAGGTAATGAGTTTGAAGCATATTTTGACACACCAGAGTTAAGATAATGTTTTATTGAGGTTTTATTGGTGTCACCCACACAGAAACTCAATGGTGGTGACTCTAACAGCAAGCGACTCTATTGGGATCTCGTTTCTGGAAGCAGGGGACCGGCTCAGTTCTAATGGACAATCTTTTTCTTTTTTTTTTTTTTGGTTTTTCTCCGGTACCGGGAACTGAACTCACGACCTTGCGCTTGCCAGGCAGGCGCTTTTGCCGCTGAGCTAAATCCCCAGCCCCTGGACAATCTTTTTCATGCTGAGCTCCAAGTCACTGAGGAATCTGAGCATGAACCCATGCTGGGGACACCGTGCTCACATGCAGTGATGAGGAGAATGGTGTAGAGGCAGTCTGTCTGACAGCTGAAATATTTTGTTTTGAATCCAGGTTTAAAAATAGAAATGTTTACAGGTGCATTAAATACAGGAACAAAAGGGACGACAGTGAGGCCACCATTCATATCCATGGGGCAAAGACAGGATCGGGTAAGTAATATTCTGGGCCCCTAGTAATTTCCATATTTAGGGAATCTTTTGAAAGAAAGAGCTATTTATTTTCCCTATCAACAAAGTGATTCCTGGATGCAACTTCACTGACTCTGACTTTGCTGAGGTTAAGGGTTTCTGCTGCCTTGCCGGTCTGCATATCCTGCCCTTGGCTGCAGAGCCGGCATCCTGGCCCTGCCCAGTGCATGAGTACCTGCATTCACAGCCCGTGCTGTGCACCTGCTGCATTCCTCCACCCGGGGTGGAGAGCGGAAGAGGGACAGCTTGGAGGCGTATCGTGTCTCCCTCCTGAGAGTGGGTCTGGGACAGAGTGGGAAGCACTGCATGGTTATCGAATAAGGGAGAAAGAAGCTGACTTACAAACTGTAACTTGTAATAGAACTGGAGGACTGGGGTATTGAATGGGAAGAGAAATGGAATGATCAGTTGTACTGTGAATAAGTTAAATTTGAAGCCACATGCTTTCAACCCAGTTTCATTTATTGTTTACTTCATAATTCACAGGTGCACTGTGTTGATTTTGTTACCAATCATTTTGCTGTAATGTACTGAAGTGTGTTATGTATCCACGTTTACATCTACCTTAAGCATTACCCACACTGAAGGGACAGTGGGTCCCAGTGCTTTTCAGGAATAGGTCTTCAAATGACTGGAGACAAACACATTACTGATCCTATATCCTCAGAATATCAACCACACACAGAAAAGTGCATGAAGACATGGATGAGACGATGCTGAAATAAAAAGGGACCCAGGGCTTGCACGGATAAAGGGCTGAGTAAGTGAGAATCACGTAAACATCCATTTAAAAAGCCCAGGCTAACTGCCAATGCCAAGCCCCCAACCAGAATAGCTGAAAGGTTCTCTTTCAATAAGCTTAGCCCTGGTAAGAACCTAAACAGTGATGGTGACTACCCAGCAGGGTATAGAAGGAGACTTAGCAGGAGGAAGAATTAAACTATTAGAAACCCACTCAGAACCTCTGCCCGTGAACCCATGGTCAACCCCTGTCATGGATCCACCTCTCTGACCAGGGCTGGGTCCAAGGTCTCTGCCCGGAGATCTGCTGTGGCCCCTAATGCTGAGAGACAATCTGCTGTCCCCCAGTCTCCTCTGATCCTCTTGCTCTTGAACTCCATCCCTGACCGTGGGCCCAGGGTCAACCGCCAAGCTCTGGTGTGTCAGTCTTTCCCATTTCTTTTGTCCCCTGCGCATGGCCTTGTGCTGCTCTGCCATTGTGTCTAATCATCCCATCGGTCATGCTACCAGGAAGCTATTTAAAAAGCAACTCCGTAAGCTAATAAAACATGGAACCTGTACAGCATGTCTGTTGCCATGGCAACCAGACAGCCAGCTGCCTCAAACTACTTCAGAGAAACAAAGTCCTGATCTTACATCTGCTGTGCATGGCTTGGCATTTGCAAGAATTATGTGTGACGGAGTGACGGCATCCTGATAAATACTTACGCCCTTGGTAACAGAAACATTTGTGACCCTTAATTATTTTTTAGTGTTGGTTATTTATCTGGAAAGAAATTGAGCTTCTATCATGTGAACAATGAAAACTGTTTTTGTGTGTATTTTTTGGAGAACCAAAAAATCAAAATGCCAAATAATTCTGTTTCTTTCTCCAAGTCGAATTGCCCTTTACTTGCTACTGTATTTACTGAGACAAAACAAAACCTTGCCTTTCACCATATTTAAGTTATGGATCAGCTAGCAAGCCTGTGGGGTCCTGGAAAGCACAGAACATGATAGAGATTGTTTCCACCCATCAGGGATCTCCTTATAATACCTTGCATTTAAGAGGAGGGCACGTGCCAGGCAGAGTGAGTTGGTGACAAAAGTGAGACATGGGAATGTGTTCTATGGATAAGAGTAACATGTCAGGATGGATCCACAGAAATAAAGTGTGGCAAGTCTAAAAATTCAGAGGTGCAGCTGACACACACCTAAGACAAGGGAAAGTGAAGAACTGGATGACTGCTAAATATTTATGTCCCTCTGGAAGGGATCACTACAGAATAGGCACCAAGAAAACACTGCAGTCATTAAAGGCAGCATCTCTAAGCAATGTCCTCTCATTCACACAGAGAGGACCAGCCATCTCCAGCGAAATGATCACAGAACTGTGGCTCAAGTAGATCAGAATCCTAAGCACATGCTTTGATTTTGATAGTGACTTCCTTGTAATAGGTTAGTTAAATCCCCAAAGAAGTTAACTTGGGAGCACTTGGACACATTCAAACTAAGTGCAAAAAACTGTTATAATGCAGGGGAAAATGATAAAACTCTAACCACAGCATAGACCTTTACACATTTTTAAAAAATGATAATTTTTAAGAAGAAAAATAAACAAGAATACAGGAAATTTGTATAGGATAATAATTGACTCGGATGCAAGAATATTTATACACCATCTTATACCTAACAAATTGAATTTCCCATAATTTTCATACATATTCAGAATATTTATGAAATATATCCGGGTACAAAGAAAATCTCTGTAGGAGGAATAATACAAGCTTTGTTCTTTTCCCAAAATGTCTTCACAATTTCCCCAAATTAGCCTTCAATAATAGAAAAACTGAACAATCAAACACATTCCTGTGTCTTTCCTTACCTCGTTTCTTCCCCTATTCCTGAGTAATTCAGTCTAAATGGAAAATTGGACTACAAATAATCTAAAGAAATGGCACACTTCATTTCTTTTTTCCTAACCAAAGTAGTTCCCTTATTAGTACATGCCTGTGGTGAGTGAGGGTTACATTCTTTGTGGTTAACTGGTACATGGACATGACACAGCTTACTTCTGTTTGTATCCCTTTTTCCTCTCCCTATCACTCCCGCTCCATCTCTTGGTCTCCTTCTCGTTTGCAAAAATCTATTGCCCTGTTTCCTATTACAGAAAAATCAAAAGAATTTTTGAGGGTTGAATTCAGAGAGTTGTTTTCCTTTATGATGCAATGATGCTCCATCACTCCTGAGATACACAAAATCATTGTTTGCAAGATTAGTGAGCGTATCTTCTACATCAAGGAGTTCTCCTCCATAACCACAGCGGAATTCAAAATCAAGCTTTTGTCCATATCAATAGTGCTGCAATGACTATCTTTGAATTCACATATTGGAGGATATGCATATCTGTTAAATATATTTCTTGAAGTGAAATTGTTTAATCAGAAGCATGCACATTTAAAAACCTGATAAATTAAGATACTATCACATTTAATATACTGTTAATACACTATTAAGTTTAAGATACTGCTAAATTACCATCTAAAGAAGTTGTTCCAGTGTAGAGCTCTATCATCTCTGTGTGAAAATGTCTGTTCCCTTATAATTCCATGAATTCATTAAGTTGGAAAGCTTGGATATATTTGTCATTACAAATAGCAACTATTCATTGCTGTATACCACACAGGGTGGGACCTGTGCCCCTACTAAAACAGCACACGTTCAGTAGATAATCTGATGCATAAATTGTTCATTAAAATATTTTAAAACTTGTCAGTGGAACAATATCTTTCAAAAGTTCAAAAGGCATTAAATTGTTTTTTAGTGAAATGACAGTTGATATTTACTCAATTTTCTAATTAGTTTTTGGTCTTTTTTTTTTCTCATTAGGTTGTAACAGGTATTCATGTATTCAAGTAATTAGTTCTCTTTTGGGGGGATTGGTTAAAGTATTTATTGCAGTTTGTCTTTTAACCTTTTGGTTTTACCTTTAAAAAGTCATCTATTTAGAATTTGTCTGTTATAAAATATTTTTTCTTTATTGCTATTAATATTTAAGTCTTAGAAAAGCCATTCTACTTCAAATATTTTAAGAAAATCTTTTCCAAGTTTTCTTCTAGTACTTCCACAGTTTGTTTATTTCTCAAAGGAGTCTTTAGAAAACAAGAATCAGCCCCACTGGAGGATTGGTACAAGACACAAAGCCCTTGGGATGACACATAGAATGTTGAAGTTCATGTGACCTACCAGGTGACAGCAATCTGATGAGTTGGGTTTAGAGTCTTTCAAATTAGATGATACGCCTAAAGGAGACAAGAGGTGACTCAGAAGAGAAGACTGGAGTAGTTAAACCCTAACTCAGAGAAAGCAAACAATGTATTCTATACAACGTTTGTACAGAATCTTGCACATTAGCTAACTTCATAATTGCCCATGCATTAAGATAAACAATAACAAGGAAATAGCCATTAACAGGGTGACAACAGCAGGGTATAAAAGTGGACATGGAAGAAAGAGACTCCACATTTAAGAAACTCACTCTCTTGGAAACCCTCTCCGAACCACCAACCTCCGACACCATGGTCAACTCCTGTTGTGGCTCCGTCTGCTCTGAGCAGGACTGTGGCCAGGAGAGCTGCTGCCAGACCACCTGCTGCCGCCCCAGCTGTGGTGTATCCAGCTGCTCTCACCCAGTGTGTTGCCAGACCACCTGCCGCCCCAGCTGTGGAGTGTCCACCTGCTGCCAGGCCACCTGCCGCCCCAGCTGTGGAGTGTCCAGCTGCTCTCGCCCCATCTGCTGCCAGACCACCTGCCGCCCCAGCTGTGGAGTGTCCAGCTGCTACCGCCCCGTCTGCTGCCAGACCACCTGCCGCCCCAGCTGTGGAGTGTCCAGCTGCTGCCGCC